ACAGACAGCAGCTTCATGATGACAATAGTCAGCTGCCTCAGCGGCCTCCAGCATGTCCTGTCTGGTCCCACATACCAGTTTATTTAAATAGACCCTAACTCCCTCCTCCCCTCTGTGGCTACTACCTCCATCTTCCAAGTTTTGCTTCTAGGAGATGACCTAGGAGGCCTGAGAGCAGACTCTGACAGTAAAGCCTGAGGCTTCATGGAGCAGCAAGTCCACACTTGCTCTGGTCTTCCTTCTCATTTTTGCTGCTGAGGCACTCGTAGTAGCCATTCTTGTCTTGCTCATCCCTCATCAGTTTTGATTTCAGCCAAGTTTTGACCTTCCTCATTCTGTCCTTACATGGTTGGACAACACTTCTGTGTTGCTCCTTGATTGCCTATCCCCACTTCTACCTCCTGTCTGCTTCTTTTTTTTTTGCATTTAAGCTCAGTTAGGGGCTCATCTGTCGTCTCAAGTTCCTGTTACAGATTTTCCCCCTAATTTCTTTGAAATCTTATACCCAGTGGCATAACTCTCCTTCACTTCAACAGAACCAGAATTTTACCACCCTTTAGAAATTACTACTAGCAACTTTGTAACCTCGATCCATTTTCTATCACGAATAGATGATTCTGCTGTAAATTATTTGGTTTATACAATTAAGCTGCACCTAAAAATACCACAGTTTAAGACACAATTGTGTCTTGTGTAATCTTACAGCAGCAGTCTCCCAAATACAACCTAAAGGATATTAATTCACGATGACAGCAGATATAATCTTAGTCTTCTACTGAGAATTTTAGCAACTGCAAAACGTTCTCCAACTGTCTTCAGCAGTACATGCAAACATTCAGCAATACTATTTTCACTTTTCAGAACTAAAATACATATATGCAAACTCTGTAAACTTTTTTGTTTCCAATATACCTGTAAAGACCTGAAGGTTAAAGAGAGCACTATCAAAGGGAGACCTTCCAGAAAGCATTAACTCCCAAGAATAAAAAATAATAAAATTTAATCCACGTTTTTGAGATGACACCAGAAAATTTTCAAGCCTATTTTCATAACTTCCTGGACAACACTTTCATACTCAAAAGCTAAACAGTGTTTGCTGTAGTTTGATGCACTGTAAAATAGACAGGAGAACTGACAAATATGAAAATGATATGATGGCAAACTTATGTTCCTGTTCAGAAATACCTTTCACTAAGGAATATTTACACCAGTTTCTTGTATACTTTGCTTAAGATGTAAAACATTTTAAAGTGGTTATTTTCAGATACTGAAAAAAATTTGCTTGCAAGCAAAACTGAATGTATGTTAGATTATTCTGTTTTCTTTCACAATTCAATGTCAACAAAAACTTGGCACTGGTACGTAACACATCTACATCTCTTTCCCATGCTGCTCTCCACGCTTGCTTTCTTGCAGCTCCTTCCATCTAAACCACCCTCCAACCCCTGGTGCACTCAGGTTCTAACTTCTCATTCCTTCAGAAACACCCCTAACAGCAGTTCTTCCAAAAAGCTCAGTCAGTGAATCTTTCTAAACACCCCAAGGCTCAAACTCAAACTCACAGTTTCGCTCGCAATCTGAAGATGCTTTCGTTTCAACAACAAACCCCCCACCTGGTGATTCTGAACTAACTCTTCCTTTCCTGCTTCTCTTCTCACAGTCCATTGCCTCCTCTTCCCTGAGAAACATGCAGCAATAATAACAGTATCTCCCACTCTTCTGTGATGGGAGCTTATGCCCAGCTCTGTATTCCTTCAAAACACCCTCCCCACTTACATGGGATCTCTTTCAGTTCTGGGTAAGCAGATTTTCCAAACATCTTCACAAAGCGTTTTGTGTATCTTAAGATTTATCTTTGTGTCTCTGGTTGTCACTTCCCCAAGGCAAAGGCAATGTTTTTCCACACATTCTCATTAGTGCTGATTGCATCACACAGATAATTTTTAATTACCTTTCTGTTAAGAGCCACGCCATCTTCACAGTCCAGCACCGCACAATCTACATTTAGGGATGGGATTTTTCGTATCTTCTTTTCATCATCTGCAGGTACATACAGCACAGCTCGCCTGGGAACGTACTTGTGAGATGATGCAAAGCGATAACTAAGCTTAGGAACACCAGCTGGCAGAGGAGAATCCACCCTGTAAAGGATATTGTTGAAATTAGACTCTTGGCTGCAATGCCGTAATGAATACTTGGCTATATTTTAAAAGGGAAACATTCCTATCTAGATAGTGGCTGGTGTTGGGTTACTTATATTTTTTTTTTTCCTTAGGAAGAGTCAAGGTAGGGAGATATCAGTATTACAGCTAATTACAGTATAATACTCCAAAACCACTATGTTCAAAAGAAGTTGCAAACTTAAAAACTCAGAACTGAAGAACTTCCAGGGCTGAGGTTATCTGTGCAGCCTTAATTTTGCCGCCCGTTCTGTGTGCTATGGCAAGTATTAAATACAGAAGGGTGGTGGTCGGTTTTGCCCTGTCATAGGACTCCTCCATGGGATGGAGGCTGTGCTGGGAACGGGTTGGGACTGTTTTAGGGAGGAGGCTGCAATCTGCCACATTTGCTCCCAGAGCTGGACGGCATGCTGTGAATGAAGTGGAGGTGTCAGTTAAAACAAACATGTGTTTGCAAAGTTGATTTTGCAACCTTAGCGTTATATCAATAAACGTATTTGCATGCAAATTTTAAATAAGCAAAATGGACAGAGGGGGAAATGAGGAAAACAGGAACAGAAACTCCATGGAATGTGGAACCTCACTAATCCCGACATGTCCTCTCAGAAGCTTTCAGATCCACAGCACAGACATCCATTGACAGAGCTCCTAAACCCACCAGCAGCAAGTTGTTGCCTGCAGTGCCTTTTAAAACTTATCAATGCTTTGTGCACCACACTTCAGTGCAGGTGTGAGCCTGTGGTGCCACATGGCTTGAGCGGGTTGCATCCATATGGTACGCAGGTGTCAGGTTTGTGGTGGTCTCCACCTTGCACTGGTGTTCCCGGTGAGGGATCAGCTCACCCACCCCAAGTGTGAGCTGGGTTGGTGCACTCGGAGGCAGTGGAGCTGCCAGGGGAGGCTGCCCTTGAGTGTGGTAGGGAGCTTGCTTTGCTCCATAATTACAAGCATGGAGAAATAAATTGCAGAGGGTGCCACTGTGTTTCATGGCCTTCCAAAAAAAAAACCCTTGCCTGCTCCTGTTCCTCCCCATTTCACACCGTACCCCCCAAGGCCTACTCCACTACATCGAAACTGAGGACAAAATAATACAATTTGCCTTCATACTCAGAGCACAAGTTGCTTATGCCACAATATAATCCAACCATATAACACCATTATGCATTATCATGTATATTATTCAGGACTTTGAATAATGCAAAGCTTTTCTAGCACCACGCTGAACATGTCATTATTGCATCATGTCAGGGTCCCATGCATTTTCCAATGTCCCTCTTAATAATGCTTCCCAAGTTGCTACACTTGGATGACACATGGCTAGACGCGCACGTGAGTTTTCTTCAAAATGAACATGACTAACCCCCTCAAATGCTTGGAAATGAGGTCAGTCAATCTAAATCAGAGCCAACACGATGAGTCGCTGACAGACCACTATGATACTTGCCTTTCTAATATAACCCTGTTGAAGAACCCTCTCTTCCCCTGGCGTGATCACCCTGAAAGCTGAATAGAGGTCTCAGGTTAAAAATACGGAGAAAGCTTTTATCATGTTTTATCTCAGTAAACTAATTTGAAAAGGACAACTATTCCACCACCTCCTCTGCTAGGTCTCTGCATGTCTCGGGTGGACTCACTTTATGAGCCCACAAAAACCCACTGCTAATCTCTTCTTTGCAATATGCCTGGTAATGCTTAATTCAGTCTAAGAAACAGGGCAGCTTTGCTGTTAAATATAAACAATGCAGTATTTTAATACAAGTGCCAGTGCTACCCCTGTTAACAAATATTCTTCATCTCTAACTGCAAGAGCTTCAAGACTTAGGTAGTGGAGGTCCTGACAATAGCTGGAGACACGCAACTGAGATCCACCAAATCTCTCCTAAGTACTCTCTTTGTCCCTCTCCCACAAACCACTTCATGTCCCCTGCCTCGAGTTGAAGTGGAGATGGTAACACAACCTGTGGCAACTCAAGTGGCTGCTAGTTAAATCCACTTAATCCCATTTTCTTGCAGTGGCACACTTCGGGAGAGTAAGGAGGAGGTGGAAGAGTGGTTTATCTCAAATGGAAAGAGGAGGGTCTTTTTTTCAGTGTGACACAGAGGTCAGTGAAGAAGTCTGCAGTCCTTCACTAAACATATATGAGGGGACAAAAGTGATTACTTTCTATTCTCTTTCTCTGATGGCTTCAACCCTGCAGTTCCCAAAGGCACAAAGGAGCCAAAGAGCTCAGCCCATTAATAGTTAACTCCAGCCTAGAGCCAAGCAGACCCTGAAGCACTCTTAATGACTGCTTCCCACCAACCCTCCAGAAGGTCGATACACATGGCTAACACCACAATCTCAGAGCACACTGAGATGAGACCTATCTCCTGTCACACATTTCCCCAGGATTTCTTCTAGGCTGTCATTGAACCAGGGGCTGTTTAGCCAGCCAGTTTCCCTCACTGCCACAGGCCCCACAAAAGCAGCTCTGCTCTACATACCACACACGACAGCTTGTAGTATTGTGTAGGTAAAACCATCATTACCTGCAGACCAGATTTAGTCAGGTGTCACCACTGAGGTCTATGAACATTTGTTTCAATGGGGGAGCAGCATGGCTCCCCCAAAAGACTGCCTGACTCTGAAGAAGCAGTAGATTTAAGCCATTAAAATACCATCACCTAACTAGCCTTGATGTTTGAAATACTATCAGCTGGTGACTATCAGTATCTCCTCTTCAACTAGTCAACTTTGTAGCCACATGGGCCCAAATCACAGATTTCTCCAGACACAAGTTATTATAAAAATATACTGTCAATTTGTCAAATTACCATAGTCACATGGTACATTTTAGCAAGTTGAAGAAGTAATCATTTTTTCAAGAGATATGGCCAGAAAAAAAAAAAGTGTACAGGAGGAACTGGTGTTAGTGGACCAAGACTGCGTCGTTCTCCTTTTGAAACAAAGAGCTCTAGAACAAGTAAAATAAGAGTTTTCAACAAGTATGCTTAGGTGTGACTGCAATAAATGTTTTCATACGCTATTATTTTGACACATATTCTCAACAAACCATCTTCTGTTCTCACTGTGCATCTTTCTCGTACAGTCCTACGTTATGTTGTACAATAAAATGAAATGTAGAGGAAGAAGCGGATTTATTAAGAAATCCATTTGCCTATAGACTTTTTTAAAACAGTGGCAAGGGCCATGGTGCTATGCATATGAGCAGTTAGCTACTCTGGCAGGAAACACTATCCTGATTATCTCGTCTTCTGTTATTTTGATAGAATAAAAACATCCCCAGCAGTTACTTTTTTAGGAAAAAAACCCACACACAGCTCTGCAATCTCGATTATATTGTTAACCCCATGCCATGAAGAGGAAGAAAATCTTACATATGTTTCCCGACTGCAAGTATTTTAATGATTCAAACTAAGCTTGACTATGCTTTAAACTAAACACATGGACCTAAGCCAAGTGAATTTGCTAAGACAATGTTTCTTCCTCCAAGCACTGTAAGTTAAAACAAGGACTAGGCTATTGGGCAACACTCATTAAATTGTTTTACAGCAGCATGTTTTCATTCATAGCATCTAGCAGCATGCTGAATGCTCTTGGGTCTTGGAAATGAAACAATTTCTTCAGCAAACATAAAGTTCTAATAAAGTCTTTATCAAAACATGTAAAAGTAGCTGGCAAGTTAAAGTCACTCATGATCCTCTGAGAACCGTTTCACCCAAGAGCAAATAGTTCATCCTCAGGAAGCAGAAAATGAACCCTTTTGGATTACTAAAAGATGCTGCAGTTTGCAACAGCAGCCATACAGCGTGACTGCACCCAGTGAAATTACCCCAAATTATACACATTTCCCTGCTGTAAACTGCATTTTCACATTCCAGCATTGCTCATGTTCACACATAGGCTTAACGGCACACACCTGTGCAGTCTTCTCAGCGCCAATAACATATAGATCACCAAGTAAAATACTCCCACAAGCGATTTTTCAGGATCAGCACTTTAACCTCCACCTCTGTTTATTTGCTAGATCAAATCATCATGGAAGAGATGCTACACCGTGATCTGCCTAACGCATGGAAAAATACGCATTGCTCGATAGGCCACATCTCTCCTTCTACAATCTTTGCCACAGTGTTGGCAAGCATTTCCAAAGAATGTTTTTAGGCATTTGAATAAAACCATTAAAAAAGCTGGGTAATTTCCACAGTGTGTATTTCTGACCTTCATACACGTAACCATGTACTAACCACAATCCTGGGTAGCTGCGGTGGTGCGGCAGAAGGACAGGACCCCACTGAACACAACTCGGCTAATGCAGCAAAGTCTCCTACAAATTATTTCTCCGACGTGAGCAAAAAACCCCCCTGAGTAAATATAATGGTTTTCTTACGTCGAGTTTACTAGGGAGTAGCTCACGACTGCACACAAATAATCCACCAAAGACAAAGGAAACTTCTACGAAATTACACAAAGCCCCGCAATTTGCATAGTAATTCTTTCTAATTAAGAAAAGAAGATATAAGTTGTTTGTTATAAACATCAGCAGGCCCTGTGCAAATACGAAGGGCTCGCAGCCGAGCCGAGTATTTGTCGAATCAAAGCGCCTCGCCGGAGAGTTTTATTGGTACAGCTGCGGCGCATGCATTTTATCACACATGCTAATAATCCTGGTTATGGCACTAACATTTTAATCATTTGTTCTGTGGGCTTGTTTCTCAAACAATTAGCACTAATGAATGGCCAAAATACCTCGGATCATATATGTCTAATTGCAGTCAAGAGCGATCCGCATGTACATTTCAATTCACCTCTGGGGATAATGTTTGTTAATTGTATTTCTTTATATAGCAAGTGAAAAAAGGCTGTTCACTCAAAAAGGGACTAAGTGTTCTCTTCTTTCCCTTTGTTCCCACAAGAAGCTAAAGTCACTTCAAGAGGCACTTAATCCCATCATCCATGGTTACAATTGCCTTACAGCATCAATCAAAAAGAA